ACCCAGCAAATTCTTTCTTCTTGGAGAAGGAATGGGGACAAAGGCCAAGTGGCTGTTACCTATGCCCAGGGACTGGGCTGTCCCAACTCAAGGAGCATAACTGCTGCTCTAGCTGTGAAATACGGAACGCCAGATAAGATGAGGACACAACCAGGATGCAGATCAGCACAAAGAAGACCTTCAGGAGCTGGTAATCCCAGAGCCTCAGCTCCCCAGTGCTCCCAGTCTCCTCCTCCAGCTCATCTTCCTCACAGACAGCATTCTCTGCAGTGGGAGAGCAGTTCGGCATCTTCTTAGGGCAGGCAGGACCCCAGCCCGGCATGGACCATGCCCACCTCCTGCCATTTTCAGAGGCTACTTGGGCTCTTGACTTTTCAGGCCCTGGAGGCATCCTGGAGGGGAAGAAACTGTCTGTGGAGTCCACAGATGCTGGAGGAGTACGAAGCATGTTGTCTGGGAGAGACAGGGACCTGGAGGAAGGGCATACCTTTCTACACTTCATCTCAGGGATGAGGACTTCCAGAGACTCAGGTTCCTCTGGAAATTCTCTTACACTTAGACTCTTCTTGCTGGAAGGCTATAGGTGGGTGCAGACTCTCCTGAGCAGCTCATATACACTGTCCCGGGACAGCAGTGACACAAAGATATACTTGATATCCTTGCCAAAGAGACTGGTGTGGAAGCAGAGCCAGTTGGGGGAGATGTAGAGCCGGCCCTGAAGAAGGAGGTCCCTCCGGAGGGCACAGGAGCACACTTTGAGAACCACTTCCTCCAAGGGAACATCCTTAAACGGCTTGTGGTATTGCTGGTTGTATTTATTCAGTGGTATCCCTTCTCGGCCACACTTCTTTATCTCTTCACCCTTCAAGCCTTCTGGGCAGTGCAGACTGCAAAGGAGACATTCCATTTCAGGAACAAGGAACCCCAGTCCTGCCCATGTGTCCTCAGTGCCAATTCTTCCCTGGCCTTGAGCCAGAAGCTTGGGGCAGAGATCGGAGACTAGGGCCCTTCTCTGCAGTGTGGGGGCTCCTGAACTCTGTCTGGTTTCTTTTTGCAGGACACAGGACTGTTCAGAGAAGTCTTTCCGTGCATTTGTTGGTTGCTGCCCGCCTCTGCAGCCTCTCTCCGGCTCAGAGCGGTCATCGTGGCGCCAGCCCTTTCTTTTTTTTTTTGAGACAAAGCTTCACTCTTGTTACTCAGGCTGGAGCACAATGACGCAATCTCGGCTCACCACAACCTCCGCCTCCTGGGTTCAAGCAATTCTCCTGCCTCAGCCTCCCAAGACTGAGGAGACTACAGGCATGCGCCACCATGCCCAGCTAATTTTTGTATTTTTAGTAGAGATGGGGTTTCACCATGTTGACCAGGATGGTCTCGATCTCTTGACCTCATGATCCACCCACCTCAACCTCCCAAAGTGCTGGAATTAGAGACGGGAGCCACTGTGTCCGGCCCTCTTTCTTTTTTCTTGTTTTGCTCTTGTCCAGCCTGGAGTACAGTGCTGCAATCTTGGTTCACTGCAACCTCTGGCTCCCAGGTTCAGGCGATTCTCCCACCTTAGCTTCCTGAGTAACTAGGATTACAGGTATGCACAATCACGCCTGGCTAATTTTGTATTTTTAGTAGAGATGGGGTTGCTCCATGTTGGTCAGGCTGGTCTCAAACTCCTGACCTTAGGTGATCTGCCCACCTCAGCCTCCCAAAGTGCTAGGATTATAGGCGTGAGCCACCACCGTGCCTGGCCTGTTTTTTTTTACAGGTTCAGTCATCTGTGCAGATACATGCTGCTACCATGCCAGCTAATTTTTTAATTTTTTGTAAAGATGGAGTCTTGCTGTGTCACTCAGCCTGGTCTTGAACTCCTGGACTCATGCATTCCTCTGGCCTTGTTCTCCCAAAGTGCTGAGATTATAGGCCCGAGCCACCACACCTTGCTGGACCTTTTTTTTTTTTTTTTCCCCCGAGATGGAGTCTCAGTCTGTTGCCCAGGCTGGAGTGCAGTAGTGTGATCTTGGCTCACTACAACCTCTGCCTCTTGGGTTGGAGTAATTCTTCTGCCTCAGCCTCTGGAATAGCTGGGATTACAGGTGCCCGCCTGGTAATTTTTGTATTTTTAGTAGAGATGGGGTTTCACCATGTTGACCAGATGGTTTCGATCTCTTGACCTCGTGATCCACCCACCTCGGCCTCTCAGAGTACTGAGATTACAGGTGTGAGCCACCAAACCGATCCAGACCTTTTTAAATAAGCCAATATGCTGATTGCAAACACATTAATTATGACTATTTTCCATTCATTTGGAAAGATGTTATTTGCTCAACATAGGGATTCTTCATTGATATACTTGTTTTAGTTCTTTAAGGATATTGCTCCATTGTCTTCCAGTTTCCATTGTTTCTGATAATAAGTATGTAATCAATGTTACATTTGGTTGTCTGTTGTTAAGGTGTCTTTCCCCCAATTTCTTCAAGTAATTCTTTATTATACCTGGTTTTCAGCAATTTGATGCTGTGTCTTGGTGTGGATTTGTTGACATATATTGCGGCTGTGGTTTGTTGAGCTTTTCACATCTCTAGGTTCATAGTTTTTATCTGTTTTGGAAAATATGAGACTAATATTTGTTGCCTGTTTTTTTGTTTGTTTGTTTGTTTGTTTTTTGGATAGAGGATCTCACTCTGTTACCCAGGATGAAGTACAGTGGCTCAAACATGGCTCAGTGCAGCCTCATCCTCCTAGGCTCAAGTGATCCTTCCAACTCAGCCTCCCAAGTAGCTAAGACTACAGGTGTGCACCGCCATGCCCAGCTAATTTTTTGTAATTTTAGAAGAGATGAGGTTTCACTGTTTTAGCCAGGATGGTCTCGATCTCCTGACCTCATGATCTGCCCGTCTCAGCCTCCCAAAGTGCTGGGATTACAGGTGTGAGCCACCACGCCTGGCCTATTTTGCAACATTTTAAAGTAGTTCTTGCCAAATTTGACCCTGACTGAGTTATTGTAGATGTAGAACAGAGAGGCTTGTTTCAGACCTTTGGAAAGTCCCCATACCAATTTGAAAATACAGAGGTGATACTTGAGTAACTAGGGTTTTATACAGGGATCTCCAGGTGCTGACTTTAAGACTGGTACGGAGGTGGGGAGGGATTGGGCCTAGGACAAACAAACAGAAACTCCACAAGGCTTTCCTGCCATTTTTACTTGCATTTTTATTTATCTCTCTTAATATTATGGGGTGCTGAATATTATAATTTCAAAATTCTTTATCTGTTCTTATAATGCTGTCACTTTCTTAATGAAGTTTTAAGCATTTTTAGACATTTTTTTTTTTTTGAGACGGAGTTTCGCTCTTGTTACCCAGGCTGGAGTGCAATGGCGCGATATCGGCTCACCACAACCTCCGCCTCCTGGGTTCAGGCAATTCTCCTGCCTCAGCCTCCCGAGTAGCTGGGATTACAGGCACGCACCACTGTGCTCAGCTAATTTTTTGTATTTTTAGTAGAGACGGGGTTTCACCATGTTGACCAGGATGGTCTCAATCTCTCGACCTCATGATTCACCCGTCTCAGCCTCCCAAAGTGCTGGGATTACAGGCTTGAGCCACCGCGCCTGGCCCATTTTTAGACATTTTTGACTTCAGTTAGATTTGGTAATGTCATCTTTGTTGACTACTAAAGGACTGTTTTAGGAATTTAAGGAATATTATACATATTCATAAGAGATGACTGAGTTATTTCTAAGAACATGCACAGTCTGCCCTTTGTTTCCTTCTCTTTTGACATTACCCAATAATAAGTTTAAGATTTTTTCCTTGGGATTGTAAAGTATATTTTATTAGTCTTTTGTCAAACTTCACTACGTTTGATCTAGTGGAAACCAGTTGCCAGCTTCCGAATATTCTCTCTTACTGTAAGCACACATATGCTGGGCCAGATCCCCCGATCACAAGTTGCAACGAAGAATATGAAATGTAATTCACCAGCATTGTTCATTAGAGACTCAGTGCCCAGAGTGTTTCCTCATGGCTGTTTTTCTCTTGTTTTTGCTGCTTTTAACAGAATAAGCGAACCTGGGTAATTGATAAGAAATCAAACTTAGTTTATACAGTTCTGGAGACTGTCCCAGGTCAAGACTGGGAATCTGGTGAGAACCTCTTGCTGGTGGGGACTCTGCAGACTCCCTAGGTAGCACAGATATCACATGGTGAGGGGATTAAGTGTGTAGCTCAGATCTTTTCTTCCTCTCATGATGGCAACTGTGCCATTCCTGAAATAAGCCATTTATTTATTCAGCCATTATGGATTAATTTATTTACGAGCTCCAAACCCTCAGTACTCAATCACCTTTTAAAGCCCCACCTTTGATTACTTTCACATTGGAGATTAACATTCAACATGTTTTGGAGGGGACAGACATTCAAACTTAGCAGTGGCTGATCAAGTAGGTGCACTCCCTCTGCTGAGCATGAAACAAAATTCCAACTCCAGAGGACTATAGGAGCTAAGTAAATGCCTTATTTTTTTTTTCATAAATAGTTTAGGTACACTCAGCCCCTGTTACTAGTCACATTGGTGGGGACCCTCCCTAAATCGAGTGCCTAGACACCATGAAAGGTCCAACATTGTAAACAAGCATTTGTAAGTATATGTAGTCTCAGGACTACTAATGTTAACTCTCTTTTGCACACTAAGTAGTAAGACTTTGTCGTAATAAGAACTGCAGATCCACTGGAGAAATAAACATTAAGGTCCATGTAATAATACTCACTTCACTCACCAACAGGAGACCTGTTCCAATTCAGCTGTTGCATTAGGAAACACATTCAATTTCAGCATAAGAATTGCTATGTGGGAGACAGTGAGTGTAGACAGAGAATGAAAGTGGATTTACCATGTCATTGAATAAATGCTTGGAAACCACGCACCCAGGAAATTTAAGAATTAAGTATAGATTCTCAGTCCTGTTAAACTCATCTTTCCTCATCTACATATGTGGGATGTTTCAGGACTCAGTTGCCTTTGAGGATGTGACTGGGAAGAGTGGACTTTGCTGGGTCCTTGCCGGAAGAATCTCTACAAAGATGTGATGCAGGAAACCATCAGGAACCTGGACTGTGTAAGTAAGGATGATGTCATATCTCCACTTAGTCAATTAGAGACATTTGTTTCTTGATCTGCAATGCTGTTCAGAGATTTGCAATATGGGAAGGGAGTATGATTGACCATGGAATAACACAGGGTTTAGGGGTGCCATCCTCCCAAGGAATTGCACATCCTGATGCAACCTTTTTCCTACCACAGCTTAACTAATGTTCACTGGCACCCTGATTGGTCACATAGCAGTTGATATATATATTGTGTGTTAATATATATATTGTGTGTCATATTTGTTCTATACTATATTCTCACAATAACATAAGCTAAAGAAAGAAAATGGCAATATGGGCTGGGTGTGGTGGCTCACACCTATAATCCCGCGCTTTGGGAGTCTGAGGTGGGTGGATCACTTGAGGCCAGGAGTTCAAGACCAGCCTGGCCAACACAGCGAAACCCTATCTCTACTAAAAATACAAAAAAAATTAGCCGGGTGTGGTGGCACATGCCTGTAATCTCAGCTGCTTGGGAGGCTGAGGACCGAGAATTTCTTTAACCTGGGAGGTGGAGGTTGCAGTGAGCCGAAATTTCACCACTGCACTCCAGCCTGGGTGACAGAGCAAAACTCTGTCTCAAAAAAAAAAAAAAAGAAAATGGTGATATGAAAATCATAAGGAAGAGAAACTATAGTTACTATTTGTTAAGTGGAAGTAGATGCTTATAAAGGTTTTCATCCTTGTTGTCTTCACATTGAGGAGGCTGAGTAAGAGGAGAGATTGGTTTTGCTATCTCAGTTATAGCAGAAACTGAGGAAAATTTGTATATAAATGGACTTGAGCAGTTCAAAACTATTTTTCAAGAGCCCACTGTAGTTTGATGAATGAATTGTGCATGATTGCACTATAATATCTTACAGTTTTTCCATAATTTTGTAAAAAAGTTTTCTGGGTCTATCTTTTAGGAGTGAAATGGGAAGACCAGATCATTGAAGATCAATACGAAAGTCCCAAGAGAAATGTAATTTGCTGCCACAGAAGAAAGATATGTCTCTGGAGTCATTCTTCAAATGATAGGAAATTGTACAAAGAAGCAAAGAAAATGAACAAGCCCAGCTTAAATTTATTTAATTTAGAACATTTTCGCCAAAGGTATATACTTGTTTCTTAGCTATTCAAGTGTTTGCATAATAGTTTCCATGGAAGCAACATTAAGAATCCCCACATTGCTGGGTGCGGTGGCTCACACCTGTAATCCCAGCACTTTAGAAGGCTGAGGTGGGTGGACCACGAGGTCAGGAGTTTGAGACCAGCCTCACCAACATGGTGAAACCCCATCTCTACGCTCTACTAAAAATACAAAAATTAGCTGGGCGTGGTGGTGCACGCCTGTAATCCCAGCTACTCAGGAGGCTGAGGCAGGAGAATTGCCTGAACTTGGGAGGCAGAGTTTGCAGTGAGCTGAGATCATGCCATTGCACTCCAGCCTGGGCAACAGAGTGAGACTCTGTCTCAAAAATAAAACAGAACAAGCAAACAAAAAAACAAGAACAAGATTAGTAGGCTCTAACTTCTGGATTTCAAAACGTACTGCAAATCTATGCTAATAAAATGTTTGGTACTAGCATAATGACACAGAAGTAGACCAGTGCAACAAAATAAACAGCACAGAAATATGCCTTTGCAATTTAAGTCCAATAATTTGTAACAAGTTTGCTATGACCTTTCAATGAGGGTATAGATTAGTATGTATATTAGTATTTTGTTTTAGTAGCTCAAGCTGTGTAAAACATAACCCTGTTAAAAAATAGGTCAAGGACTCACTCCAATGAGCATATATAAATAGACAATAGTTACATGAAGATCTTTAGCATCACTCATCATGAGGGACATGCAAATGAAAACCACAATGACGGATGGGCACGGTGCCTCATGCTTGTAATCTCCCACTTTGGGAGGCCAGGGTGGGAGAATCACGAGGTCAAGAGATCAAGACCATCCTGGCCAACTTGGTGAAACCCCATCTCTACAAAAATGCAAAATTAGCTGGGTGTGAAGTTGTCTGCCTGTAGCCCCAGCTACTCAGGAGGCTGAGGTAGAACAATCTCTTGAACCTGGAACACAGAGGTTGCAGTGAGCTGAGATCGCACCACTGCACTCCAGCCTGGCGACAGAGTGAGACTCTGTCTCAAAAAACAAACAAGCCAGGTGTGGTGGCTCACACCTGTAATCCCAGCACTTTGGGAGGCCAGGGTGGGCGGACCACGAGGTCAGGAGATCGAGACCATCCTGGCTAACATGGCGAAACCCTGACTCTACTAAAAAAAAAAAAATACAAAAAAGTTAGCTGGGCATGGTAGCACACGCCTGTAGTCCCAGCTACTCCAGAGGCTGAGGCAGGAGAATGCTTGGACCTGGCACCCTTCTTTCAACAATTTTGGCTAGACTGAGGTTGTGGTGAGCCAAGATCGCACCACTGCAAGACTCCATCTCACAACAAAAAAAACCCACATTCACACACTCTAGAGTGCTTCTAAGAACAACAAAATAAATTCTAACAATGATGTGAAATAATTGGGGCCTTTGTACACTGTGGGAATGCAAAATAGTACAACCACTTGAAAACTGTAGGATAGATCATCAAGAAATCCAAAATTGAAATAACATATGATCCACATTTCTGCTTTCTGGGAATCTACCCTAAATTATTGAAAGAAGGGTCTCAGGTAAGAAGGCTTTTATGTGCCAGGTGGGCATAAGGCACCTTCTTTCTGTCCTTCCGTGAAGCCTGGTGGGCTCTTGTCAGAGAGGGTTGTTGGCAGGCAGAAGGGTCTTAAATTTTTTTCCAAGGGTGACAAATGGGCTGGGTCATGTGAAGAAATACTTTTGAAGGAAAGTACCTTGAAGAAAGTAAACCCATATATATAGGAGCATAAGTTGCCAACAGATAAACTGTGAAAGCAACCCTCATGTTTATTGACAGATGGTACTATTATATGCGTACAATGGAATATTGGTCAGTCTTCAAGGAAGGAAAATGTGACATATGCTACAGCATGGGTGAACCTTGCAGATATTGTGCTAAGTGAAATGGGCCATTCATATAAAGAAAAATATAAAGTCAGTTCACCTAATTCCTCCCACTTTCCTCCAGATATAGACTCTTTGAAATATAGGAAATTGAGAAAATACAATGCAAAATTAGAGAAGATTGACTTGTAATTCTGAACCTGGGCTGCAAGTTCAAGAAATGGATGCAAAAGATCATGACCTGCACAGGAAATAATTTTCTGACTTTAATAGCATAGTGAAGGTTGAAAAACAAAGATGTGGCCGGGCACGGTGGTTTACACCTGTGATCCCAGTACTTTGGGAGGCCAAGGTGGGCATATTGCTTGAGGTCAGGAGTTTGAGACTGGCCTGGCCAATATGGTGAAACCCAGTCTCTACCAAAAATACAAAAATTAGCCAGGTGTGGTGGCAGGCATCTGTAATCCCAGCTACTCGGGAGGCTGAGCTGGGAGAATCACGTCAACCTGGGAGGCAGAGATTGCAGTGAGCCAAGATCGTGCCTTGAAAAAAGGTTGGGAACTGCTCCTTTAGAGCATCAACAGCTTATTGTAATACAAAAATCTGCACCCATAGAAGAAAATCATGGTGGCTTTTTGAACATGTGTGGTATAAAGAGACATGTTTATGATTTGTGCTTGCACATGTGAAATTCCTTTCTGCCCATACTACAAACCTTCCCGTCCCATACCTAGCTTCTTAAAATTCCCCAGCTTCCCGCAGCTCTAGGAGGAGGAAGTGTCTTGGGAGCAAGAGATTCTGACCCCATCTCCTTCTCTGGCCAGAAAATAAATCCTGCTTGCTTTTTTTTCATTTCTTTAGTTATTCTTTCATTGTGCATACAAACTAGAAAAAGAACTCAGTTTATTGGTGACACTTGTATTTCATACAAATATGGGAAACCTTTATATTTTCAAAAGCCTTGGCTTTTGATTGGAGCATTTAATCATTAATATTTAAAGTCTTGAATGAGAGAGCATGTCCACACTGTGCAGAGGACACAGGAGGGCAAGCTGAGTTTCCTCCTCTTTAAATCCTTCAGTGCCCCTGCTTCATCACCAGGTGCTGATCCCACTTGTAACTGGCAAAAGGGTCTGACTGCTCACCACTTGGGTAAAGAAGTCAAAATAATAACAACTTGTGATAAGAAGGAGTGAGATTTCTATATTATCTGTCCTAGCAGGGAAGAGCTGAAAGCAACCCCACTGTTCAATTTGTGGAGGAGATACAGGTTTTTTTTTTTTTTGAGGTGGAGTTTTGCTCTTGTTACCCAGGCTGAAGTGCAATGGCGCAATCTCGCCTCATCGCAACCTCCGCCTCCTGGGTTCAGGCAATTCTCCTGCCTCAGCCTCCTGAGTAGCTGGGATTACAGGTGCGTGCCACCATGCCCAGCTACTTTTTTGTATTTTTAGTAGAGACGGGGTTTCACCACGTTGACCAGGATGGTCTCGATCTCTTGACCTCGTGATCCACCCGCCTCGGCCTCCCAAAGTGCTGGGATTATAGGCTTGAGCCACCGCACCCGGCCGATACAGGGGTTTTTATAGGAAAGGTTTGGAATGCAGAAGAGGTGAGGGGGGCTAGGAGGTACCCAGTGGCATGACTTGCTCTGGTTGACCCTCTTGAATTATTGTCCCATTTGGTGAAGCGACTACTCCATTGTGGATCCTGCCAGGTTATAAATTAGTCGCAGACAATCTCATAGTCAATCTTCAGCTGGGTGTGGGTTCCGTCTTTGAATTAATCTTTTGTTGGAGAGAGAATTCCAGAGGTGTCTGGTCGCTACCAGGATCCAACCCCTGAAGCTTCTAAGGAAATATATGACCAAATAAGAGAGATAGTGTGTGCTTAATAAGTATTTAGGTAAATAAGTGTGCATAGGCTGGGTGTGGTGGCTCATGCCTGTAATCCTAGCACTTTGGGAGGCCAAGGCCTGAGCTCAGGAGTTCGAGACCAGCCTGGGCAACACAGTGAAAACCCCAACTCTAATAGAATACAAAAAGTTAGCTGGTCGTGGTGGCGGGTTCCTGTAGTCCTAGCTACTCGGGAGGCTGAGGCAGGAGAATCGCTTGAACCCAGGAGGTGGAGGTTGCAGTGAGCTGAGATTGTGCCACTGCACTCCAGCCTGGGTGACAAAGCGAGACTCCGTCTCCAAAAACATAAAAATCAATATGCATAACACATGGCAGTATAGTATGGGAAAGGAAAGGGAGTGGAGGTTCACAGCACATTCTGAGGCTGTATTTTAAGATGAGAGGAAAAGGGAAGAAGAAGAAAAAGATTTAAAATGTGGTTTGAGACTCAGCTGCTAAGCTGCTGGTTACATACTCTGGGACTCAATTTCAGGAGTTAGAATCTGGCCCCTAAACTTGGGAATATGTTTAACCTTCTGAAAGGGGGTTTCCTGCTGAACTGTGGCTGAAACTTCTCTGAACTAATTTAAGTTTTTTTCTTTTATTTATTTATTTATTTTTCTTTTTTTAAATTTTTTTTTGAGACGGAGTTTCGCTGTTGTTACCCAGACTGGAGTGCAATGGCACGATCTCAGCTCACCACAACCTCCGCCTTCTGGGTTCAAGCAATTCTCCTGCCTCAGCCTCCTGAGTAGCTGGGACTACAGGCACGTGCCACCATGCCCAGCTAATTTGTGTATTTTTAATAAAGACGGGGTTTCACCTCGTTGACCAGCATGGTCTCGATCTCTTGACCTCGTGATCCACCCGCCTCGGCCTCCCAAAGTGCTAGGATTATAGGCATGAGTCAGCGCACCCGACCTAATTTAGGTTTTTTTCTTTTCCCCTCTTTTGATTACATTATAGAAGATTGCTGCCATATAATTCCAGGTTTTCTATGCACTTAATTTTATTTCATTGTTGATGGGTTTTTATTTTCTGATTTGAGAATGAGAGATAAGGTGGGTTAAAGGCTTGGCCATGCAGCCGGAGACTTCATCCCAAATTCCTGATCCCCAGAAGATACCAGGCCTTCCCTCCTGCTTCAGAGTGGTTTGTGTGGCCTGGGCTCCCCTTCTGTTCTGAGGCCAGGGGACGGCTCCACTGGGCAGTGAGTCTGGAATTCCTGCACACGCTTGTGAGTCCCCGTCAAGGAAAAAAGAGCAGGAAGAGCCCATTGAGTACAGGCAGAAAATTCCGCTTAAATGCAGATGTCCACTGGGAGGGGTCAGGTCATAGCGAAGGGAGGAAGCGCACCCTATCAAGGGCTGTATCTGGAACGGCTCCATCTGGAACGGCTCCATCTGGAACGGCTCCAATCGGCTGTGTAAGAACGCTTCTTCTGTCAATCAGTCCCCAGGTGGGGCGGAACTTGGAGCTCTGCCCAATCATGGTTGGGGACGAGTTTGTGGGGATTGTCAATCAGGCGCGTTGCCGGGAGGAGGGTGGAGCGTTCTCCTCTGAGCTCCGGCTCCCTGCTTTGTTGCTAAGAGACGCTCTGGCCGGTCAGTGACCGGTTCTGTCACACTGAGTCCTATACTGGCAGCGGTAGCCTTGGGGAGAACCCGGGAAATGGTGAGTGTGCGGGGCCCGGCGTCCTGAGGCAGAATGAAGGGCTGGTTGGAACCGGCCAGAACCAGCTGTGGAGGGACCCGGGCGTCCCCGCGGCGACTCCAGGGTCTCCGGCCCCGAGTTTCCCTGGCGCAGCTCAGGCCTCGGTTCCCTCGGCTGCAGGGTGGGGGTGGGGCTAGGCGGGCAACCGGGACCCCGGGCGTTCTGTCGCGTCCCTGCGCGGTGACTGTGGCCCCGGCCCCGGCCCCTGCCCCGGCATCCTCTCGGCAGCTCCGCGCCCGCAGCCCCGCGTCTCCCCAAATTGTGCGGCTGTAACCGGCACAGGTTCGCGGCCCGAGTCATTGCACCGAGACACCAAGAGCTGCAGCAGAATCAGTTTAATAGTAGAGGACACCCTAGATCCGCCTCCCTGAGGGCTCTGGGGTCTGGACAGGGGCGGCTGGGATGTGGGGTCGCTGGTTGGTGGGGAAATGAGGGGCGAATCCTGGGACGGGAGGGGAAGAAACTGCGTTCTCCTGCTGAGTGGGCTTCCTCCTGGGGTCTTCAGCCTGCTTGGCGCCAGCCTTTCCGTTGGAATTCAAGATCTGAGAAAGAACTCTGGCGACTCTTGAGCAGCTCTCCGAGATCTTATCCCCAGGCACAGTGGGGAAGCTGGCTGTCAGCGTCTGCTTGACCTGACTCTCAGGGAGGTGGGCCCGTGAGGCGGCGGGGCTGAGGGCACCTGGTTAATACCAACTGCAACCTCGCCTCCAGCCTGGCTCACAGTTCCTGTGAACCCGGTGAGGGTGGGAGGCCACCAGGCAGAATCCAGACTCTTTCATGGGGTTCATGCATGGGGGGAGCTGTTGTCTGTGGGGTCGCCAATCCCTTATTTTCTTCCTTGGGTGACTGATTCTTCCTCGAGTTTTTCAGAGATGAGGGCAGTAGGGCCTCAAATCCACCACCTAGTTCCTCATCCTAACTTCTAGGGCAGATAGTAAATCCCTTGGTTTCCAGATCTTTCTCCAGGCTAACTTTCTTTCCTCAATTCACAGCAACATCATGAATTCCTACCTCCCCCACCCACCCGTGCTAAATTTCAGAGTCCCAGTATTTTAATTTTCATTTTGTTTTCAGAGAGCAATGTGTGGCTGCTGCTTCTGCTTATTCTGCTTCTGCTTCTTCCTTCTCCCTCTTCTTCCTCCTTTCTTTTTTTAAAATTATTATTATTTTTTTTTTTACAAAGACAGGGTTTCACCATGTTGGTCACGCTGGTCTTGAACTCCTGACCTCAGGTGATCCACCCACCTTAGCCTCTAAAGTGCTTGGATTACAGGCATGAGCCACCATGCCCGGCCTTCTTCTTTTTTTGAGGCAGAGTTTCGCTCTTGTTGCCTAGGCTGGAGTGCAGTGGTGCGATCTCGGCTTACTGCATCCTCTGCCTCCTAGGTTCAGCGATTTTCCTGCCTCAGCCTCCTGAGTAGCTGGGATGACAGGTGCCCTCCACCGTGCCAGCTAATTTTTTGTATTTTTAGTAGAGACGGGGTTTCACTGTGTTGGCCAGGCTGGTGTTGAACTCCTGACTTTAGGTTATCCACCTACCTCAGCCTCCCAAAGTGCTGGGATTACAGGTTGAGCCACCGAGCCCGGCTGGGCTTCTTAAAAGATTTGTGTTTCTCAACATTTCACATGTGAGGAAGCAGAGAATAATGTGACACTCCACTGCAAAAAAACCTTTGTGTCTCTCCATTTCTTTCCCCTGGGTACAGATACCTTCTCAACATCTTTGGGTTGAGAGTCCCCTTTGGAAACTTTACAGGGTTATGTCCTCAGCCCACCCTCTGTCTTTTCCTGGTTCTGTTTCAGAACTGCCTGAGGTTGACCCAAGATACACACAGCTGTCCTGTCTCTGGGAGGGTCTAGTGAATATCAGCCTCTGGTTCCTTTCTCCCAGTGAACAGCCTGAGGTGTTGGGGTAGTGCCTCACAGAGAACAGCTGGATGCCCTGGGAGGGATGGGATATCATTTCTATAAAAAGCTAACCCTTGGGACAATCACCTTTTCCTCCCCAACCCCAGTTTCCATTCCCTAGGGACACAGGCTGGTCAGCCAAATGAATGGTCGTATTTGGGGGAGAAGGCAGAAATGATTTCTTCCTTCCTGACTCTCAGACTAGTGAAGAAAGAAAACAGTATCTAAGCACTGGAGAACCCATGAGATCTGGTTATACAAGAACCTCCCATTCAGGTCAGGTTGTGCAATAGCCAGAAAAGCACACAATGCAATATCTCCTGGGGTGGTGGTCCCTGAGCACTTTACTGAGCAGCATGGGGGTGACAAAGGTCCTAGGAGATAGGACCACCTGACTAACACTTGAGTTAGACTTGTGTTCCAGTCAGCACTGCCCATCCCTGAGGTTTTCACACTGAAAAGAGGTATTCCCTCATTTGAACTTCAACATTTTATTAACAATAGGATGTATCCTATCATTAGAGATTGATAGAGAAAATAAAGTATTTCCACAGAGGCCAGAAACAGTTAAATTTCAGAAAACAGATCATGTATATAGTCATCTCTTCCTTTTTTTGAGACGGAGGCTCGCTCTGTCACCCAGGCTGGAATGCAGTGGCATGATCTTGGCTCACTGCAGCCTCTACCTCCCAGGTTCAAACGACCCTCCCATCTCAGCCTCCCAAGTAGCTGGGATTACAGGCCTATACCACCATGCCTGGATAATTGTTTTGTATTTTTAGTAGAGATGGGGTTTCACCCTGTTGGCCAGGCTGGTCTCAAACTCCTGACCTCAAGTGATGTGCCGCCTCAGCCTCCATTTTTTGTAAAAAAAAAAAAAAAAAAACACCCTTCATTTACTTTTTTTCCCCCAGAGCCTGTCTGGTAAGTTTCTCTGCTTATTTCAAATGGAATTTCAGGGCCTAGCAGTGAAAGTATGACCAAGGAAAAATGTTTGATCATACTTTATGGCTACAGAAAAAGTGAACACATATTAACAGAAAATGTGGTAGTTATTTGATTGAATTATAAAGATTTACCAAAACTTTAGTTTCTTTTTAGGGTGGGGAATTTAGGACAGTGGATAACTGCTCTGTTCCTATAACGTATGCTTGATGGATTAATGCCAAATTCTGTGCTAACCTCTCCCCTTTCTTTGCTGTGTTCCTCTCTTTTTTGCTATTCTTAAGATATCCTTTATAACAAACTGATAACCTTAAGCAGAGGGTCTTGCTGAGTTCTGTGGGTTGGCTTAGCACAATATTGACCCTGAGGAAGGTGTCATTGATTTTATACACATTTGATTAAAAGATGGTCTGTGGGGCTTGCCCCTAACATCTGCCTGGAGGCTGATGGGTTGTGATACTCAACCCTCAACTTGTGGGGTCTGTACTGATGTTGGGTGGACACCAATTTTTGTTGGAGAATTTGTGTTCGGCAAATGCTATGTTTGTTGTCAAAAGTTGTGCGAGGTGGCTGGGCGTGGTGGCTCACTCCTGTAATCCCAGCACTTTGGGAGGCCGAGGCAGGCGATCACCAGGTCAGGAGTTCGAGACCAGCCTGGCCAACATGGTGAAAATCCTTCTTTATAAAAAATAAAAGAGAAAGAAAAAAAAAGTTGTGTGAGGTAACACTACAGGTTAGAAACATAACTGACATAGAGTTTGTATTTCGTTACTCATAGGTTCAGCGTGTATTGATCCAGAAGCATAGTTTTGCCTCTTTTCTGTTTTCAGTTAGTTAATATTACCATTAATATACCATCAATATTATGCTGAAAAGCCAATCTTGCTACTGGATATCTATCCAAAGGAAAAGAAATCAGAACATCAAAAAGATACCTGCACTCATCTGCATATTATAGCACTATTCACAATAGCAAAGGTATGGAATCGACCTAAGTGGAGGATTGGATAAATAAAATGTGGTATGTATGCTTAGTGGATACTATTCAGCCATAAAAAAAGAATGAAATCATGTCCTTTGTGATGATAACATGGAAGGAATGGGAAGCAGTTATCTTAAGCAAAATGATTCAGACGCAGAAAGACAAATACCACATATGCTCACTTTAAAGTGTAAATAATGTGTACACGTGGAATCAGAGTGTGGAATGATGGTCACTGGAGACTTCAAGAGGGTGGAGGATGGTAGATGATGGGCGGTTGCTTCGTGGGTACATGTGCCTTGCTGCAGTGATGGATGCACTGAAGGCTCTGACTTCATTCACCACAATGCACTATATCACTGTGGCAACATTACGGTTGTACCCCGTGAATATGTACAAACAACAACAAAATTTAAAAATGAATGCATATTTCAGGGTTCTACTCCAGTCCTACTGAATTAGAAATTCTGGGCGGGGGGCACGATGGCTCATGCCTGTAATCCCAGCACTTTGGTAGGCCAGGGCAGTTGGATCATGAGGTCAAGAGATTGAGACCATCCTGGCCAACATGGTGAAAACCCGTCTCTAGTAAAAATACAAAAATTAGCTTGGCTTGATGGCAGGTGCCTGTAGTTCCAGCTACTCAGGAGGCTGAGGCAGGAGAAACGCTTGAACCTGGGAGGCAGAGGTTGCAGTGAGCCGAGATCACACCACTGCACTCCAGCCTGGCGACAGACCAAGAGTCTATCTCAAAAAAAAAAAAAATTATGTTTTATATGTCTCCATTGGTTTTTGCTGATTAGCATTGGTGTTGAGCATTTTCTCTTTGCGGTCTTTCATCTTCATGAAATAATTTTCAGTCTCTTCTCAGGTTTAATTTATTTGGATATCATTGTCTTGCTTCTCTCATTTTTTTTTTTTTTTGTTTTTAAGCATACTGTACATACTAACCAGTTTTCACATGGAGGAATTGCTAATATTTCCTTCCAGATAATGGTTTATCTTTCTTTTTTTTTTTTTTTTCCGAGGCAGAGTCTTGCTCTGTTGCCCAAACTCTGCCTCCTGGGTTCAAGAGATTCTCCTGCCTCAGCCTCTGTAGCTGGCACTACAAGAGCAAGCCATCATTCCCAGCTAATTTTTGTATTTTTAGTAGAGACAGTGTTTCACCATGTTGGCCAGGCTGGTCTCAAACTCCTGACTTCATGATCAGTCCGCCTTGGCCTCCCAAAGTGCTGGTATTACAGATGTGAACCACCACACCTAGCCTGGTTTATCCTTTTATTTCATTCTACAGTTTGATGGACTCTTTCTTTTTTCTTTTCTTTTTCTTTCTTTCTTTTTTGTTTTTAAGCTAGAATCTTGCTCTGTTGCCCCAGGCTGGAGTGCAATGGTGCCATCACAGCTCACTGTAGCCCCAAACTCCTGGCCTCAAGGGATCCTCCTGCCTCAACCTCTCAAAATGCTGGAATTAAAGGTGTGAGTCACTATGCTTAATTTTAATAGAGCTGAATTTGGAAGACTCCTTATTTGGGACCAACTTTCTTTTTTCCTCTTTTCTTTTTTTTGGGGGAGGTTGACAGGAGACAGGGTCTCACTGTGTTGCCCAAGGTTAGAGTGTAGTGGTGTCATCCAGGCTCTCTGCAGCCTCTACTTCTCTGGGCTCAGTTGATTAGCCTCCCAGGTAGCTGGGACTACAGGCATGCACCACCACACCTGGGCTAATTTTTGTATTTTTGTAGTGATGAGGTTTCACCATGTTGCCCAGGCTGGTCTTGAACTACTGAACTCAAGAGATCCTCTTCCCTTGGCCTCCCAAAGAGCTGGGATTGATTATAAGTGTGAGCCACTGTGCCCAGCCTTTGTTTTCTTACTTAAGAAAACTCTCATCTTGTTAAATCTGAAGAAGACCTTTGCCTGTAACTGTTTAAAATACTAGTTTTATCTTTCATAGGTGTTGGGTTTTTTCTCATTTAATCTTGAGGTCTGTCTCTGGGGACTGGCTATAAACCCTATTCCTGCTCTGGTGGTTCTCCAGGGATTTGGTGGTAGATGTTTTCATTGTGCATTTCATGGGATACTTCTGTTTTGGTGGAAATCATTTGATAAAAGTTTATTGGAAGTCTAATTTGAGGATGGACTAGCTAAGACCCACCAACAAATTTGGGTATGTTCCAAAGTCTGTTGCAAAATGATACCTTCAGAGAAAAGTTTAGGAGAAGGGAGGGGGGCTCCTCATATCAGAGTTGTCTCTTATAGAGCAATATAATATCAGGGCAGTGTTTGCCTTATAACATAGATTAGAAAGTGTTCCCTCTGCTTCTGTTTTGCAGAAGAGACTGTAAAGAATCTGTGTCATTTCTTTTATAAGTGTTTGCCAGAATTCACCAGTGAAATCATCCTGGACTGTTCCCACCCCCTCCCCCGGGACATTTATTATTTATTGATTCAATTGCTTCAGTAGATATAGGCATATTCGTTATTCACTTCTCTTTTTGTGAGTTTTGGTAGACTGTGTCTTTCAAGGAGTTAGTCCATTTCATGTCATTTATCAAATACGTAGACATTCAGCTGTTCCCACTATTGCTATATGGTGTATTTAATGTCCTTGAGATTGTTAGTGATAACCCAGTCCCTCTTTTTTTCTGACTTGACTATGGACTTAACAATTCTATCCAGTTTCTGTTTTGTGTTCATTTTAGCTGAGTTTTTCTTTGGTTGCTCACATCTGTTGAATACTTACTTTAGTTCTACCTTACAGCTGCAGAAATTCTGTATGGTTCAGTTGCTAATTTTTTATGGTATCATTTTCTCTATTTCTGGTTTTCTTTTAGTTCTGTGTTCATCATTGCCTTTAGTTCATTCAATGTATTTAAGACAGTTGCTTCAAGTTTTTAATTCAGTAAGTTCATTATCTGAGATTTCATGGAGATGGTTTATCTGAGTTAAATTTTTCCACCAATAAACTATATTTTCATGTTCCTCTGTGTTCTTCTTAATTTTGTTTGTATTCAAAGGAAGACATTCGAATGTTGTAATGGGGTAACTCTAGCGGTCTGATTCTTTCCCATTCACTGGTTGCTATTCTTGTTTGTTGTGAGCTGTAGTTACTCATTTTTTAGTAACATTTCTTTCTTCAGAGTCTTGCTCTGTCACCCAGGCTGGAGTGCAATGGTGTGATCTCTGCTCACTGCAACCTCCACCTCCCAGGTTCAAGCCACTCTCCTGCCTCAGACTCCCAAGTAGCTGGTACTACACGCATGCATCACCATGCCTGGCTAATTTTTATAGTTTTAGTAGAGATGGGGTTTCACCATGTTAGCCAGGCTGGTCTCAAACTCCTGACCTCAAGTGAGCCGCCTGCCTTGGCCTCCCAGAGTTCTGGGATTACAGGTGTGAGCCACCACGCCTGGCCTTTAGTAACATTTTCAAAATGTGTTTATAGAGACTATATTCCCTAATCACACCGAAGTCTCTGTTCTTTAACTTGTGTTCATCCTGTGTTCTGACAGAGATTTCCTGAATGTTCAAAGCTAAAAGTAAACAAGATGAAACACACAAAAACCTGACGACCACTTCGGGTCTCTGTGCATGGCTCTGTGGTGGGTCATTCCTTGAATGCTTAGCGAGGCTATTTAAAACTCTGCTTTTTAGCCTTTATGTTCTATTTTACTAAACCCAGACATCAGCCAGTGCTGAAATTTAGTGTTTCCCTAGGTCTTCTATGAAAATGTTACTTCCTGTGACTTTTTCAATTCCCCAGCATACCTGGGTACCTTTGAATACCCTAGTGTCTGAAGGAAAATTTCTTTCCAGATTTTTGCCCTGGGACTTAGATGGTCTCAGATCTTAATCATAATCTGTTTCCTGAGTGATTGCAATCTCTTTGTGTATTTTGCAGTCTTTTTGTGTATCAAGATGTTCCTGACACGTTTGTCCCTGATTTCCATCACAGAGGAAATAAAATAAAGAGTCTTAGGGCCAGGTACAGTGGCTCGCACCAGTAATCCCAGCACTTTGTGAGGCTGAGGTGGGCAGATCACGAGGTCAGGAGTTCAAGACCAGTCTGGCCAAGATGGTGAAAACCCGTCTCTACTAAAAATACAAAAATTAGCTGGACGTGGTGGTGGGTGCTTGTAATCCCAGCTACTCAGGAGGCTGAGGCAGGAGAATTGTTGGAACCTGGGAGTCAGAGGTTGCAGTGAGCCGAGATCACACCATTGTACTCCGGCCCAGGCAACAGAGCGAGAACTTGTCTCAGGGAAAAAAAAAAGTCTTGTGTCAGACCTTCAGATAGTCCCCATACTAACTGGAAAATACAAAGGCAATAATTTGCAAATAAGATCTGATCTGCTGTCTGTAGAATCATTGACCAGGGTTTCATACTGGGATCTCAGGCTGCTGTGTTCAAGACTGACACTGCAGTGGCTCATGCCGGTAGTCCCAGCACTTTGGGAGGCCAAGGCAGGTGGATCACCTGAGGTCAGGAGTTCGAGACCAGTCTGACCAACATGGAGAAACCCTGCCTCTACTAAAAATACAAAATTAGCAGAGCGTGGTGACGGATGACTGTAATCCCAGCTACTCAGGAGGCTGAGGCAGGAGAATTGCTTGAACCCGAAAGGTATAGATTGTGCCATTGCACTCCAGCCTGGGCAACAAGAGCAAAACTTCATCTCAAAAAAAAAAAGAAAAATTGACACTGAGGTGGGGAGGGATTGGGCCAAGGATAAATGAAAACTCCACAAGGCTTTGGTACCATTTTTCACTTTCATTTTTAAATCTGTTTGTCTCTCTGTTAATAGTATGGGAGCTGAATATTATAGTTTTAAAATTATTTATCTGTTCTTATAAAGCTGTCACTTTGTTGATGAGAAGTTTTTTTTTTAGCATTTTTATACATTTGTGACTTCTATTAGATTTGGTGATAGACTTTTTGTTGACTACTAAGCAAAAGTCTGATTTAGCTATTTAGGGACTATTATAGATATTCATGAGAGGTGACATTGAGTTCTTTTATTTATTTATATTTTATATAGATATAGATATTTTAAGACAGAGTTTTGCTCTTGTTGCCCAGGCTGGGGTGCAATGGCACGATCTTGGCTCACTACAACCTCCTCTTTCTGGGTTCAAGCAATTCTCCTACCTCAGCCTCCTGAGTAGCTGGGATTATAGTCATGTGCCACCACGCCTGGCTACTTTTATATTTTTAGTAGAGACGGGGTTTCTCCATGTTGGTCAGGCTGGTCTCGAACTCCTGACCTCAGATAATCTGGCCACCTCAGCCTCTCAAGGTGTTGGGATTACAGGCGTGAGCCAACATGCCCGGCCTGATGTTGGGTTCTTTCTAAAAACATGTGCAACCTGTCCCCTTTGTTCTCCCTTGACATTACCTAATAAAAAGTTCAAAAGTCTTCCATTGGGATGATGAAGTATATTTTATTAGTCTTTCGTCTTGCTTTGCCACATTTGATTTAAAGGAAATCTGTTGCCAGCTTCTTAATGTCCTGTCTTAGTGTAATCACATAGGATGGGTTGAATCCCCCAAGTAACATGTTGCAGCAGCCTTTTGAAAAGTTATTTATCAGTGTCATTCATTAGAGACTCAGTGCCCAGAGTGTTTCCTCGTGTCTATGGTTTTTTGTTGCTTATAACAGAATACCTGAAGCTAGATAATTTTAAATGAAACAATATATATATTTTGTAGTTCTGGAGGCTGGGAAGTCCAAGGTCAAAGCTGACATCTGGTGAGAACCTCTTTGCTGGCAGAGACTCGGTGGAGTCCCTGTGTGGCACGCAGCATCACTTGATCAGAGAGCTGAGTGTCTAGCTCAGGTCTCTTTCTCTTCTCATAGGGACATAAGCCCAGCTTCTATCACTAGGAGTTTATTTATTCTTTAAACCATTAATTCAAGAATGGATTAATCTTGATTTTCTTGAGATCCAAATCCTCAAGACCCAATAACCTCTTCAAGCTTCATTACTGCCACATTGGGAGTTAAGTGTCAGCATGCATTTTGGTGGGGACAAACATTCAAACCTAGCATTGGCTGATCAGCTGTGCTCCCACTGCTGAGCATGTAACAAAATTCCAAGCTCCCCAAGAGAAGATAAGTGTTAATCAAATACTATACTTTTTCCATAAACAGCACACTCAGCACCTATTATTAGTTATGTTGGTGGAGACCCTCTATAAATCCAGCACCTAGGGTACATGAAAGATCCAACTTTGTTAACCAGTGTTTGTAAATTATATACAATCTCAGGACTTCTAATCTTGCCCAGTAAGTAGTAGGACTTTGTCACAAGAATTACAGACCCACTATGAAGTAGACATTAGGGATGATCCTGGCAAGAAAATTCACTCATTTAAGTCATCAAAAAGAGACCTGTTCCTGCTTGACTATTACTTATACCAAACATTCAGTTCTAGCATCAGAATTGCTGTGTGGAAGAAAGTGAGTGTAGAGAGAGAATAAGAGTGGATTGACCATGTCATTGAATCACTGCTTAGAAACAATAGCATCATGAAAAGTTTATGAAGTGGGTGTAAATTTTTAGTACTATAAGTCTCAACCTTTCTCCTCTGTACATGTGGGATGTTTCAGGATTCAGTAGCCTTTGAGGATGTGGCTGTGAACTTCACTCAGGAAGAGTGGGCATTGCTGGGTCCATCACAGAAGAGTCTGTACAGAGATGTGATGTGGGAAACCATTAGGAACCTGGACTACATAGGTAAAGATGACATTATGTCTTCACTTAGTCAATTAGAGACATTTTTTACTTGGTCATCAATGCTGTTGAATGATTTGAATTATGGAAAGGGGATATGGTTGACCCTTCAACAACCCAGGGTTAAGGGGGGTGGGGTCCCCAACCAGTTATATATATTCAATAACTTTTTGTTCACCATAACTTAACCTTCAGTTGACTGGTAGCCTAATTGGTCACGAAAACAATTGATTAACAGATATATTGTCTGTTACATGTATTCCATACTGTATTCTCACAATAAAGTAAGCTAGAGAAATAAATGTCAATAAGAAAATCACAAAGAGGAGAAACTATATTTACTGTACATTAAATTGAAATGGATCATCATAAATATGGGCTTTCATCCTCATTGCCTTCTCATTGAGTAGGCTGAGTAAGAGGAGGGGTTGGTCTTGGTCTCCCAGGGGTAGCACAGACTAAAGAAAATTTATATATAAGTGAACTTCTGTGGTTCAAACCTATGTTGTTCAAGAGTCAAGTATAATTCAGTGAATGAATCATGCATGATTCCATTGTACATAAAATCTTTTCTTTTTTTGAGACGGAGTCTTGCTCTGTTCCCCAGGCTGGAGTGCAGTGGTGTGATCTCAGCTCACTGCAACCTCCACCACCAGGGTTCAAGCAATTCTCTGCCTCAGCCTTGACAGTAGCTGGGATTACAGGCGCCCACCACCATGCCTAGCTAATTTTTCTATCTTTAGTAGAGATGGGGTTTCACCATCTTGGCCAGGCTGGTCTTGAACTCCTGACCTCATGATTCACCCGCTTCGGCCTCCCAAAGTGCTGGGATTACAGGTGTGAGCCACCGCACCCAGCCTATACCTAACATCTTATAGTGTTTTTAGAATTTTATAATAATCTACAGTGTTTTTTCTGTGTTCACCTTTTAGGAATGAAATGGGAAGACACAAACACTGAAGATCAGCACAAAAATCCCAGGAGAAGCCTAAGGTAATTTGTACTCACAAGAGAAAGACATATCGGTGGAGCAATTCTTAGGACGACAGAAGTTTTACAAATAGGCAAAGAAAATGAACAAGCCCAATATAAATGTATTTATTCCTAGAAAATTTTCTCCAGAAACATATATGTTGTTGTTTTTTTTTTGAGACAGCATCTTGTTCTGTCTCCCAGGCTGGAGTGCAGTGGCATGATCTTGGCTCACTGCAACCTCCTCCTCCTGGATTCAAGCGAGTCTCCTGCCTCAACCTCCCAAGCAGCTGAGACTACAGGCACCTATCACCATGCCTGGCTAATTGAATTTTTAGTAGAGACAGAGTTTTGCCATATTGGCCAGGCTGGTCTCGAACTCCTGACCTCGTGATCCACCTGCCTTGGCCTCCCAAAGTGCTAGGATTACAGGTGTGAGCCACCGCACCTGGCCCAGAAACATATACTTAAATGTGACATAGCTATTCAGTGTTTGCAAAAATCGTTCCCTTAGAAACAGTATTAAAAATTCTATGTGTTTATCATTGTCAAGAAAACAGCTGGGGTCGAGTTATCTTGTACAACGTTCAGTCCATTCACGTTCGAGCAGTGCCTGAAGCCTACAGATTGCATGATGATGTAAAAATGTAAATACAAAGCCTATTAATAAATATAAAATTTATAAGTAAACCTTTATTAATATACTTCTCATGTTTTACAGATGTCATATTGTAGAGAGATTCCGTGAAAGTAACTGGATTTCAGATAGTATTGTGGATGAAAAAACTCCTGGAGTAGATCTGTGTGAAAGCAATGTGCATGGAGAAGTCAACATGGATTGTTCATTCCTTAATTGCATCACATTTGATGCTGGACACAAACCAGGTGAGTGTCAGGAATATGGAGAGAAGCCACATACATATAAACAATGTGGGACAGCCTTCAATTATCACCACTCCTTTCAAACACAAGAAAGATCTCACACTGAAAAGAAACGCTATGATTGTAAGGAATGTGGGAAAACCTTCAGTTCTTTGGGAAACCTTCGAAGACACATAATAGTGCAACGTGGAGGTGGACCTTATAAATGTAAGTTGTGTGGAAAAGCCTTTTTTTGGCCTAGTTTATTTCATATACATGAAAGAACTCACACTGGAGAGAAACCATATGAATGTAAGCAGTGTTCAAAAGCCTTCCCTATTTACAGTTCCTTTCTAAGACATGAAAGAACACATACTGGGGAGAAACCATATGAATGTAAGCAGTGTTCCAAAGCCTTCCCTGATTCCAGTTCCTTTATAAGACACAAAAGAACTCACACTGGAGAAAAACCCTATAAATGTAAACAATGTGGAAGAGCCTTCAGTGTTTCCAGTTCCCTTCGAATACATGAAAGAACTCACACTGGAGAGAAACCCTATGTATGTAAGCAATGTGGGAAGGCATTTCATCATCTGGGAAGCTTTCAAAGACACATGATAATGCACACTGGAGATGGACCCCATAAATGTAAGGTATGTGGGAAAGGCTTTGATTGTCCTAGTTCACTGCAAAGTCATGAAAGAACTCACACTGGAGAGAAACCCTATGAATGCAAGCAGTGTGGGAAAGCATTATCTCATCGCTCAAGCTTTCGAAGTCATATGCTAATGCACACTGGAGATGGACCTCATAAATGCAAGGTATGTGGGAAAACCTTTGTTTATGTCAGCGTATTTCAAAGACATGAAAGGACTCACACTGGTGAGAAACCCTATGAATGTAAGCAATGTGGAAAAGCCTTCCGTATTTCCAGTTCCCTTCGAAGACATGAAGCAACTCACACTGGAGAGAAACCCTATAAATGCAAATGTGGGAAAGCCTTTATTAATTTCTATTCCTTTCAAAATCACGAATCAACTCACACTGGAGAGAAGCCATATGAGTGTCAGGAATGTGGGAAAGCTTTCAGTTGTTCCACATACCTTTCTCAGCATAAAAGGATCCACACAGCTGAAAAACCTTATGAGTGTAAAACATGTAGGAAAGCCTTCAGTCATTTTGGTAACTTAAAAGTCCATGAAAGGATTCACACTGGAGAGAAGCCGTATGAATGTAAGGAATGTGGGAAAGCATTCTCTTGGCTCACTTGTCTTCTGCGACATGAAAGAATTCATACTGGAAAGAAAGCTTATGAGTGTAAACGATGTGGTAAAGCCTTCACGCGTTCACGTTTCCTTCGAGGACATGAAAGGACTCACACTGGAGAGAAGATGCATGCATGTAAGGAATGTGGGAAGGCGCTGAGTTCTCTCCGTTTCTTGCAGAGACATAAAAGGACTCACTGGAGAGATACTCTCTAAGTGTGGGAAAGCATTCATTAATTTTATTTCATTTCAGAAACATGAAAGAAATCACATAGGAATAAGCCTCATGAATGTAAACACATGGTAAAGCCTTAAGATGTTTCTTTTGAAGATGGTTATCACCCAGCCATATGCAGGGTATTGGTTCCAGACCCCCTAAGCACACCTAAATCCACAGATGCTGTGTCCCTTCTATAAAATCACTTTTGCATGTAACCTGTCTGCATCCTCCTGCATCCTGTAAATCATGCCTACATTGCTTTTCACCAACCCAAAGTTTTTGTCAAAGTAAAAATAAAAAGATTACTAAATACCTCATGTGTTGTAAAAGCTATGCAAATAGTCATTTTATTGTATTTTTTAAAGAATCATGATACAAAAATAATCCTATAATGTTGAGAACAGACCCAACCTTTGCAGGCCTGCCTACATAGTACATGTCACCTACAATGCTACAGTTTCTTTTTCTTTTTCTTTTTTTTTTTTTTTTTTTTGAGATGGAGTCTCACACTGTTGCCCAGGCTAGAGTGCAGTGGTGTGATCTTGGCTCATTGCAACCTCCACCTCCTGGGTTCAAGTGATTTTTCTGCCTCAGCCTCCCAAGTAGCTGGGATTACACCTGCCCACCACAATGCCCAGCTAATTTTTTGTATTTTTGAGAGAGACATGGTTTCACTATGTTGGCCAGGCTGGTCTCAAACTCCTGAACTCGTGATCCGCCGTCCTGGGCCTTCCAAAGTGCTGGGATTACAGGCGTGAGCCACTGTGCCTGGCCCTTTATTTATTTATTTTTTTTGAAGCAGAGTCTCGCTCTTGTTGCCCAGGCTGGAGTGCAATGGCACCATCTCAGCTCACTGCAACCTCCACTTCCCAAGTTCAAGTGATTCTCCTGTCTCAGCCTCCCAAGTAGCTGGGATTATAGGTGCATGCCATGCCACTATGCCTGGCTCATTTTTTTTTTTTTAGTAGAGACAGGGTTTCATCATATTGGTCATGCTGGTCTTGAACTCCTGACCTCAGGTGATCTGCCCACCTCAGCCTCCCAAAGTGCTGGGGTTACAGGTGTGAGCCACCACACCCAGCCTCAGTTTCTTTTTTTCAACAATCATAAATTGCTTTTATGTAATGACCTGAAATCATGTGTTAACAGTTAAAATCCCGGCCCTTCTTGCTTGATAACCCAAGTATGATGATGATGTTATAGTGTGGTGCCTAATGTGATTCATTGAGGTGACTAGATGGCTGGCACTCTAGATAAGCAGTGAGACATCAGGCTCACTTGAATCTTGACAGGATATCAGGATGACTATCTGTGTTGGATGAACCAAGTTTCCTGTGAGGGACACCTGGTCGTTCATTGACTTTTTTCTTTTCTTTTTTTTTTTTTGAGATGGAGTCTCACTCTGTCACCTAGGCTGGAGTGCAGTGGCACAATCTCGGCTCACTGCAGCCTTCACCTCGTGGGTTCAAGCAACTCTCCTACCTCAGCCTCCTTAGTAGCTGGGTTTACAGGCATGTGCCACCACAGCCAGCTAATTTATTATTGTTTTGTATTTTTAGTAGAGATGGGGTTTCACCATATTGGCCAGGGTGGTCTCGAACTCCTGACCTTGTGATCTGCCTACCTCGGCCTCCCAAAGTGCTAAGATTACAGGCATGAGCCACCATGCCTGGCTGACATTTAAACATTAGTCCCTTCACCAGAATGAATTGCCATGAAAGGAACATTGTAAACATCACAACCAGATGTCTGAGAGCCCCATGATGGCAGCACTAGAGTTTGTAGCCACACTCCTGAGAGACCCCAATGCCAAATTAGAGGAAAATACATGTGCATGGCTCTCTGCAACAGAGGTAGTGGGGAGAAAGGTAGCTGGTCCTATGCTGACTGTTGAAATGGCCACAGTTAACCACAGTTTACCATCCCAATTTTTTTCTGGAATGTGATGTTTTCTTTTCTTTTCTTTTTTTTTTTTTGAGACAGAGTCTTACCATTGCACTCAAGCCTGGTCGATAAAGCAAGATTCTGTCTTGGTGTTGCCCAGCCTGGAGTGTAACGGTGTGATCTCGGCTCATTGCAACCTCCACCTCCTGGGTTCAAGTGATTCTCCTGCCTCAGCCTCCTGAGTAGCTGGGACTATAGGCACCCACCACCACACCCAGCTGATTTTTGTATTTTTAGTAGAGATGGGGTTTCACCAGGTTGACCAGCATGGTCTTGATCTCCTGACCTCGTGATACACCTGCCTTGACCTCCCAAAGTGCTGGGATTGTAGGCGTGAGCCACCGTGTCTGTCCAATTTTCTGGAACTTTCAAGGCTTCAATAGACTGTTAAGGAGAACAGAAGCAAATAAAATGGATGTGGTACTCACCGTAGACATCACAGTCTATCTGGGAAGACAGTTTGATTAGTTATTTTACGTAACAAGTTTGTTAATGCAAAAATAATAGTTTGTTAGCATGTTTGTTTCTCAAAGAAATAATTATTTATCAGTTGGTTTTTGTTTTGTTTTCGAGGAGACTGGGTCTCCCCATGTTGTCTAGGCTGGTCTCCAATTCCTGGGCTCAAGCAATCCTCCTGCCTCCTAAAGTGCTGAAATTACAGGCACAAGGCACCATGCCCAGTCTATTTACCAGTTTCCAAATCCCTATTAAATATCTTAGAATTTTTTCCTCTACATATAAGCACAGGAAGAAACCCAGGACTCTGCCAGTGTTTTATTCAAACAGTGGAATTGAGGGACTTTGTCTCATTTAACTCATCAGTGATGGTGAGAAGCACTTGAAGACTCTTGCAGCAACCAGGGGGAACATTCCCTTTGGCCCTCTGATGTTTTGCTGAATTAATTGGAGAGAATGGAGACTAACTGGAAGAAAAGCATACAAATTTTATTTAACGTGTATATCTGGGAAACTTCAGAATGAAGACCCAGAGATACAGAGGAAATCGTTCATTTTTTTTTTTTTTTTTTTTTTTTTTTGAGACAGAATCTTGCTCTGTCGCCCAGGCTTGAGTACAGTGGTATGATCTCAGCTCATGCAACCTCTGCCTCTTGGGTCCAGGTGATTCTCCTGCCTCAGTCTCCTGAGTAGCTGGGATTACAGGTGTGCACCACCACATCCAGCTAAGGTTTGTATTTTTAGTAGAGATAGGGTTTCACCATTTGGCCAGGCTGGTCTCGAACTCCTGACCTCAGGTGATCTGCCCGCCTTGGCCTCCCAAATTGCTGGGATTACAGGCATGAGCCACCATGCCTGGCCTGGAAATGGTTCTATTTTATGCTTAGGTTTAACAACGTATGGACAGCCATGTAGAAATGTGATTAGACCAAAAGATTATGATCCCATGCTAACAGACTGAATGGGGAAACCCAACAGGGCCTGGCTAGATTGTTCTTGGCCTTTCTGAGCATGCATTCCTTTCTTCTGGGTATAAGGCAGGACCCACTCTGAAATGGGAGGTCTATGACTTACAGCAAGCTTGTCCAACCTACTGTCCAGGACAGCTTTGAATGCAGCCCAACATAAATTCATAAACTTTCTTAAAACATTAGGGATTTTTTGTGTGTGTGATTTTTTTTTTTAGCTCATCAGCTATTGTTAGTGTTAGAGTATTTTATATGTGGTCTAAGACAATTCTTTCTCCAGTGTGGCCCAGGGAAGTCCCAGGGACATCCCTGACCTACAATCAAACAAGGTTGGCAGTTAATTTGCTCATGGCCAGTTTTTACACAGAAAGGACAATGAAAAGAGTAATACATTTAGGTTTTATGCCTGGATTTAGGGGAAAAGAGTTCTGGATTCTATAACCTGGAGAAGAGAGATTCTAGTTTCTATGGCTAGCCTTGAAAAAGAATAGGGCTAAGTTTTTCCTCTGCCCACTTCAGAGAAAAAGCTTTTGCATCTGAGGCTTCTTCCAAGGTCTTCGTTTTGGGGTATTGTTTTATGAGCCCCAGCCACCTGGAGTGGGCAGCAGAGCTGGAGCCAGTGACTTCGCACTGAGCCCATTCTGAAGGCTGCAAAGGAAGGGAAATGAAGCCTCCTCTTTGGTGCTTCCTCCACAGCCTGTGCCGGTCTGAACGTAGTTTGAAGCTGTGCTTAGAATCAGATGTTAGCATTTATGTATTAGGAAAATCTGGGTAAAGAGTTTATGAATTTGACAGTTTATGTAGGTCGGTACCTTAAACTAACTTTTTATTTTTTTTTGAAACCAAGTCTCACTCTGTCACCCAGGCCGGAGTGCAGTGGCACCATCTCGGCTCACCACAACCTCCTCCTCCCAGGTTCAAGTGATTCTCCTGCCTCAGCCTCCCGAGTAGCTGGGATTACAGGTGCCCACCACCATACCCAGCTAATTTTCACCATGTTGGCCAGGCTGGTCTTGAACACCTTACCTCAGGTGATTCACCTGCCTCAGCCTCCCAAAGTGCTGGGATTACAGGCATAAGCCACCGTGCCCGGCCCTTAAACTAACTTTACATGAAACTTTACTGCTGTTGAAAATGCAGGTCTTGAAGGAGGGGGCATTTCCACACTCTGCAGAGGGCACAGGGAAGTATGTCGAGCTCCCAGGGTCAAATCCTTTAGTGTCCCAGTTTAATCACCAGGTTTTTATCCACTCTGGGGTTCCATTTCAACAGTTAAGAGGTGGGCTGCCAAGTTTGGGAATATGTTTAGCCTCCTGAATGGGACGTTTGCTTGTGAAGTATGAGTGCAGCAGGCTGCTTTATCTGAACTAGTTCGTGGTTTTGCTTTTTTTTTTTTTTTTTTCTGGTTTGATTCATTCATTCATTTATTGCTGCTGTGTGATTTCAGTTCTTCCACACACTGGATATTTAATACCGTTCACTTGTTTTTATTTCCGTGGCTGAAAATGAGTAGATTGAGATGCAAGGTGAGAGGAAGGTTTGACCTTACCACCAAGAGTCTTAACCCTAAATCCTGACGCCCAGTGGACATCAGGCTTCCTCCTGCTGCAGTGTGGCTCTGTGGCCTGGGCTTCCCTCTGCTCTGACGCCAGGGCAGTGGCTCCACTCGATCGTGGGTCTGGGATTCCCTGCACACACATGACTCCTTCTCCAGGAGGAAAAGCAATAAGGGCCCGATGAGTATGGGCAGGGGATTCTGCATACATGCAAATGTTCCCTGGGAGGGATCAGGTCACACCGCAGGGAGGAAGCCTGCCTTGCCAAGGGCTGTATCTGGAACCCGTTCATCCCGCTCTACTCTGCACTGTGATAGCTTCTTCTGTTACTCAATGCCCAAGAGGCAGGACCTGGAGCCCTATCCAATCAGAGCCATAGGGCGGGTCATGGGAACTGTCAATCAGGCGTGCTGCCGGAGGAGAGTGCGAGGTTCAAAGAGCCCGCAGCGTCTTCTCCACGCCCCTTCGCTCATCTCCCGCCTGCGCCGTTGACGGACGCCCTGAAACGTCTGTGGCAACCTCTGTCACACTGGGACCCGCACTGGCAGCGGGAGGCAGAGGGAGGACTCTGGAACGTCCCGGAAGCCGGGAAATGGTGCGTCTGCGGGGCCAAGCGTCCCGAAACGGGGAAGGGCTGGTTGGAACCGTCCAGAACCGGCCGTGGCGGAACCCGGGCCTCCCCAGCCGTCAGCTCCGGGGTCTGGGACCTGGGCCCCCCTGGCGCAGCTCGGTGTTCGGTCCATCCCCTCGGCCGCAGGGTGAGGCTGGACTGGCAGCTGGGACCCCAGGCGTCCTGTCCCGTCCCTGCGCGGCGACTGCGGTCCCGACCTCGGAGCCCTCTCTGGGCAGCTCCGCTCCCACAGCCCCGTTTCTCCCCCAGATTGTGGGGAGGTCCCGGGAGGGTCATGGGGGAATCCCCACTCGTGTGTGGGGTTCTTGGGTGGGAGGCGCTGTGATCTGTGGGATCCTCAGTCTCTGTGTTCTTCCCAAATGGGACCAGTTTTCCTCTGTCTTCAAAGGTTTGGGAAGCCAGGTGGCTAATGCCTTACCTTGTCCCCTCACCCTAACTCCTGGGGCTGGCAGTAAATCCCTAGACTTCCAGAGTTGGCCCTGCATTTCATAAAGCTGACTTCCTCTCTGTCACTGGGGAATGGCTACTATCTGGGCCGGTAACGCTGGGGTAAAAGAATTTTTGCCAAGACAGTTGTAACTAGAGAAAGGCAGATTTATTAGCACAAGTAGGAAAATCTGTCTCAAGGGAGGCAAAGGGAGAGAAGTGGGGGCTTGCGGGCGATTTTATAGAATGGAACTTGGGCTGATGGATGGTGCCAAGGCAGCAGGGAGCTTAACTTGCATTCCTCTGTCAGCCCAGGTGTTTGATAAATTAAGGCGTTTGATGGTGAGCAGGAAGTCTGTGAATTAAGTACTTTATCTGGGCAAGAAGGCCATGTGTTGGGCCCTATGTCTTAGGCCAGAAAGAAAGACATGTATAGGAGTTTAAGACCAGCCTGGCCAACGTGGTGAAACCCCATCTCTACTAAAAAATACAAAAATTAGCCAGGTGTGGTGGTGCATGTCTGTAATCCCACCTACAGGAGAATCGCTTGAACGCAAGAGGTAGAGGTTGCAGTGACCTGAGGTCACACCACTACCACTGCACTCCAGTCTGGGCGACCGAGCAAGACCCTGTCTGAAAAAAAAAAAAAAAGTTAGATCTGTAACTTACCGGCATTCTCTTTTGTTTAAATTCTCTGGACATGAAGATAGGCAGTTTTACAGCGTATTTGCTTTATCTTTCTGCTTTCCCCTGTTCCCCTTAGCCTGACTCCTTTTCCCTAATTAAGACTCCGCACTCTCCTCAGTTCACAGCCACATAATGAACTCTTTATCTCCCAGGCTGTATTTTAGCTTTTATTTTTTTCCCCAGGTAGCAATGTATGACTCTTTTTTAGAAGATACCAGTTTTGTTTGTGAATATTTCATATGTGAGAATGTAGAGAATAGCCACCTGTCAGGTAGTTTAACCACTCTGCTGTAAAAACGAACAACAACATCAACAAAAGTCTGTGCTGCTTCTCCTTTTATTTTTCCTAGGCAAAGGCACCTTATCAGAATGTGTTTGGGTTGAATTTCCCCTTTGGAAACCACCCAGTGATGAGTCCTGAGCCCACACTATCTTTTCCTGGTGCTGGCTTTGATAACTGCCTGTGGCTGGCACCAAGTGAATACAGCAGCCTTGTCTTGGAGGGTGTAGTGAATATCAGCCCCTGGGTCACTCTTCCCAGAGGACAGCCTGAGGTGTGGGGGTGGGGCCTCCCAGGGGAAGAGCTGGATGCCCTGAAGTAGGATGATTCCCCTGGTATTCTCTTCTAAAAAGTTAAGCCCTAGGACACTCAGTTTTCTCAGCCCAGTTTTCATTGCTTGGAGACATGACTGGTCAGCCACTCAGGTGCTAGTATTGAGGGGGTGAAATAGAAATGATTCTCATCCTTTGAATTCTGTTAGACTGGTGAAGGGAGAAAAACTATGCGAAAGGTCAAGGATAACGTACCACAGTGAGATGGTTCAAGAGCCTGAAAGCACACAGTGCATTGTCCAGTGCTTGGGGGTGGGGAGTGGTCACTGAGCACTGCAATGAGCAGCATGGGGTGAGGGATGTGCCAGGTGACAGGAGGACCTGACCTGACCCTTGAATGAACTTGTCTGTGTTCCAGTCAGCACTGCCCCTCCCTGGGGTTGTTAGCCTGGAAAAGATTTGTTCATTCCTTTCTGTTCAGTTTTTTCTTAACTGTAAAATGCATTCTGTCATTAGAGATTGATAGAGAAGATAAGATGTTTCTAAAGGGACAAAAAAGAGTTGGATTTCAGAAAACAAAGAGTATACATTTAGGCCTATGTGCCTTTAAAAAATGCTTGTTTACTTTTTCAGTCGTGCCGTAAGTTTCCCAGATCTGTTTTTTTTTTTTTAATTGAATGATCTCAAATGGAATTTCAGGGCTGAGCCGAGAAAATGCTACCAGGGAAAATAAATGGGAAAAAGCTTTCTTTCATGATGACTACAGAAAAATGAATACTGTGTCAAGGCTCTTAAAATACTTTTTCTGGTAGGAGAAATGTAAAACCATATTCAAAATGGAAGCTGAGGTAACATAGGGTGAATAAAAATTCATGAAAACAGGCAGGTCTGTAATTAGTTGATTATTGTATGTGGAGGTGTTGGACAGAAGATTGATTATTTTCCTGGAGATAACAATTTGTTCCTGTTCTTTGTGTTGAAGTGGCTGTCATTTGTATCACTGCCTGGCAATACCCACTGTGCCATAGTTTCTCATATCTTAAATAGATGCTTTTGTTCCAGAATTTGCTGTTTTCAATTGGACTTTGTACCCATCACTTCGCTAACACCATACTCTCCTGATTACTGTAGACTTCAAAGCCTTGATGTGTGTAGAGAAAGAGCCCACCTGTCTTAATTACTTAGGATTGCTTTACCAGATTGCCATCAACTGCATGCCTTAAACAACATTCTTTCATTTATCAAAGATGTAGAGGCTGGGAATCTGAGCTCAAGCAGGTAAGATTTCTGGTAAGGGCCCACTTCCACATTTAAAGACGGCAGTCGTCCCCTTATATCCTCACGTGGTGGAGATATGTTGGTAATGTCTGTCTAGTTTTGGTACTAGGGCAATGTTTACCTTATTTATTTATTTAGAGATGGTGTATCCCTCTGTCTCCAGGCTGGAGTGCAGTGGCACAATCCTGGCTCACTGCAACCTCCACCTTCTGGGTTCAAGGGATTCTCCTGCTTCAGCCTCCTGAGTAGCTGGGACTACAGGCGTGAGCCACGACATCTGGCCAATTTTTGTATTTTTAGTAGAGATGGAATTTCACCATGTTGGCCAGATGGTTTCAATCTCCTGACTTCCTGATCTGCCCCCCTCAGCCTCCCAAAGTGCTGGGATTACAGATGTGAGCCCAGGCGCCCAGCTGTCCTTGTAACATCAATTAGAAAGTATTGGCCAGGCGCGGTTGCTCAAGCCTCTAATCCCAGCACTTTGGGAGGCTGATGCGGGTGGATCACGAGGTCAAGAGATGTAGACCATCCTGGTCAACATGGTGAAACCCCGTCTCTACTAAAAATACAAAAAATTAACTGGGCGTGGTGGCGCATGTCTGTAATCCCAGCTATGGGGGAGGCTGAGGCAGAAGAATCGCTTGAATCCTGAAGGCAGAGGTTGCAAGTGAGCCTAGATTGTGCCATTGGACTCCAGCCTGGGCAACAAGAGCAAAACTGTCTAAAAAAAAAAAAAAGTATTACCTCTGCTTCTATTTTCTGGCAGACATTATAGAGAATTGATATCATTTCTTCCATAAGTGTTTGCCATAAATCACCAGTGAAAACATCCTGGCCTTTTTCTTGGGTTATATATGATTTATTGATTCAATTTCTTCAAGAGATGTAGGCCTATTCATATTACTTTTTGTTACTTTTGTGAGTTTTGGTAGACTGTGTCTTTTTTAAAAAATCCTTTCATAGTTGAGATTTTTTTGGTTGAAGATCAGTACAGACATTTCAATTTGTGCACAATTCTTAACATACGGAATGAAAATCAAAAAGCCATGTATTGAAATTCTTTTTTGAAGTTATTCCAGTGACTTTTCAGCTTAAAATTTGAAAGCAAATTTTCCTTAAGAGGCTATCAAATACCAGTATGTTCACTTGTTGATAAGCTGTTACATACATCCCAGCAATTCACAACTGAATAGCATGTATACTACATATTCAAATGTGTACTACGTGTTTACTCTTTCACAGCACAGTAACAAAGGTATTAGGAAAACGGGACTACTGCAATCCAAGATGTTACAGAGTGCACACAATTCTGACAGGGAGAGCCATGATCAAAGAGTGATTTTCTTTAGGAAACAATTCTAAAAAACATGGGAATAGAAGTAATTTCAAATGTTCAAGACATTAAATGCAGGACTGACTCCATTTTGCCATTTAATGTGCTTTGTATTATAGGCTGTAAAAATTAACCCCCCGTCCATGGAATGTTAAGCTGTCACCTGAGACAGTCAGAGCCTCCCATAATTGAATATCCCACACTGTTTTCTGGTTGTACCAAAAATAAACAACCAGCAAATGATTTCACCTCTTAAAAAAAAAAGCATTTACAATCGGGCACGGTGGCTCACGCCTGTAATCCCAGCACTTTGAGAGGTCAAGGTGGGTGGATCATGAGGTCAGGATATCAAGACCATCCTGGCTGACATGGTGAAACCCTGTCTCTACTAAAAATACAAAAAATTAGCTGGGTGTGATGGTGGGTGCCTATAGTCCCAGCTGCTTGGGAGGCTGAGGCAGGAGAATCACTTGAACCCGGGAGGTGGAAGGTGCAATGAGCCGAGATCGAGCCACTGCACTCCAGCCTGAGCAACAGAGCGAGACTCCATCTCAAAAAAACAAAAAACAAAAAACATTTACACTTAAAAAATGGGTAAGGTGGGATTCCCTCCTTCTCAAAAATGTTTCCAGAGGTACTAAAAAACTAGCATTTACATAATAGTTGATAAAAAATATTCCTCAGGATT